GTTTGAAAATTTTTCAAACCAAATCAAACCACTTCGATTTTTAAACCAAACCAATTTAAACCATTTTTTTTGGTTTGGTTCGGTTTAAAACCATGGTTTAACAAAAAAAATTAATATATATCAAATAAATTAAATCATAAATATTAGTTTAAAATTTCATGTTCAAACATAAATCGTATTATTAAAAAAATTACAAGTCAAAGTTATATAATTATAATTATATTAATGCAACAACGTGATATAAATATTTTAAACTCTTAGTCGATATCAATGGCTTCCATCTGCAAGTGTAATACATGATTTATTTTCTTCATAAATATAAAAATATAGTACATAAATTCATTGATTATAGTTAAATGATATAAAATAATTAATAAAAGAAAATGAATAAATTTTTTTAAATACAATAGTATCTAGTTACGATGACTTTTTGTGAATCATTCAAATCTTCTACTAAATCTAAATATTGGTGAATTACTTTAAGGGATACCGACAAACGGACAATTATTAGAACAAAATAATATAACTATCAATAAAAATATAAAATAATTACCAAAAAATAATAGAATTTCAATCACCTGACTTGAATTTGAGCAAAATTTGAGAGAATTATTCGAAGGAAATGAAATATACACGTTTGAATTAAAATCTAGATTTTATTGTCCTCTCAATTGTAATGGAGAATGATGAATGTGGTTTAACATCAATTGTTTAACACTTTACCCAATTTGAGAGTTTTACATTCACAATTATGATGACTTGTGAATATTTGGATATGATTAATTAATTAATTGAGATGTATAATTGTCGATTTGAGTTTAATTGAATTATGTCTAATATAGATGTATCTTTTTAATTGAAATGTGTTAAGTTTTAATTGAATTAAATAAAATTTAGACTAATTTATTTTCAGATATTTTTTTTTGTAAACGGTTTGACGGTTTGAAACAATTTGCAAATATTGAAATCTAAGTCAAACCACTTCGCGATTTGGTTCGATTCGAAACCAAAACGTTGACGAATTCACGTGGAACCAAACCAACAATTTCGATCCTATTTCGCAATTTCATGGTTTCATTGTTCAGCCTTAATAAGTACTAATCCAAAGTAGAAAGCTTTGGCAAACAACCAGCAATATAAAATTTCTGGCCCAATAAAACAAACATCTATGCCGCGCAATGCTTTGAGGCCTTTCTAATAAAGAATTCACAAAAATTCGCCGTCTGTGGGAATCGAACCCACGACCACGTGGTTAAAAGCCACGCGCTCTACCGGCTGAGCTAAGACGGCTTGACGTTAACGTCCTGAATTATATAAATAAATAGATTTTTCCATTTATTTGGATTTCTAAGATAATTTAAATATAAAACATTCATAGTTTAGTATTTTTACAGTACATAAAATTTTTTGCAAACCTGAAATGGAAAATTCTAGATTTATACAGGTGTCCACGACTCAGAGTTTAATAAATAGATTTCTTAATATTTATAAATTCTCATGGGTTTTATGGAATTTTTAAATTTCATAAGATTTGAATGAATTTCTATTTTATAATTTTTAATAGATTTTCTTGGATTTTATAGATTCTCATGAATTTAATGTATTTTTAGTTTTTTTCCCTGTTCAATTACTCAAAGCAAATCGTCAACCATACTTTGTAAAAACATTTAAATGATCAATACTTCCACGCCAAAAATAATAATAAGAATAATTTCACTTGCTAATTAATCACAGCCAATATTCAACAAAAAATATTGTTAAAAACTTTAAAAAACTATCATCAATTGATAAGTTCACATACATAAATCGCAACAGAGGGAGAGACGAAAAACCTGTTCACAATGAAGAAAGATGGGGGGGGGGGGGGGGGCGA